TCACCCAGCCCCTAGAGCCTGGCACTTTGAACTTGGACTTAAAGCCTCCAAATTGTAAGAATAAACTCCTGTTTGTTTAAACCATCCCATTTGTGGTATATTCTTATCAGAGTGGCACTAGGTAATCAGAACACTGGACTTCATCAATGTTAAGAACTTTCAGTCTAGGAAAGATGTTCACTGTTCAGAGGATGAAAAGACAAGCAACAGATTGGGAGAAAATGTTTGAAAATCACACATATGACAAAGGACTTTATTCAGAATATATAAGGAACTCTCAAAATGCAACAAGAAGAAATCAAGAAACTCAGTTTAAAAGTGAGCAAAAGATATGAACAGATACTTCACCAGAGAAGATATGCAGATGGAAAATAAGCAAAGAAAAGATGCTAAACATCATTAGTCACTCTCTCATTGCCGTCGAGGGAGATCCTACTCACAGCGACCCCTCCTCGGGTTTCTGAGGCAGTATCACTACGGAAGTAGATTGCCCAACCTTCCTTCCAAGGAGTGGCTGATGGGTTTGAACCACCAGCCTTCTGGTTAGCAGTCAAATGCCTTAGGCACTACACTACCAGAGCTCAACTCATTAGTCACTCAAAAACCAAACCAAACTCACTGCAATCGAGTCAATTTCTACTCATAGCAACCCCTCCTTGGGTTCTATCACTATGGAAATACATTGCCCAACCTTCCTTCTGAGGAGCAGCTGGTGGGTTTTAACCACCAGCCTTCTAGTTAGCAGTCAAATGCCTTAGGCACTAGTCACTAGGGGGATGAAAATTAAACCCATGATAAGACAACATTACACTTCCATTAGAATGGCTAAAAAGAAACAACAAAGGAAAAAAGAAAATAATGGCAATTGCAGGCAAGATGTGGAAAATTGTATCATTCATATGTTGCTGGTAGGAATAATGCAATGCTGTATAGCCACTTTGGAAAATAGTTGGGCAGTTGCTTATAAAGTTAAATGTATATATGACCCAGTAACCCCACTCAGAGGCATTTACTCAAGACAAATGAAATTTATGCTAACATGAAAACCTGTAAGGCAATTTTATCCATCACCAAAAACTGGAAACAATTAAAATATCCTTCAACTGACAAATGAATAAACAAACTAGGGTACACAATGGAGTACTACTCACCAATAAAAAGCTATGAACTACTGTCCACAATGAATAAGGAAGAATGAGTTGATGCTTTTGAGTTGTGATGTTGGAGAACAATGCTAAGAGTACCATGAACTATTAAAAGGACTAACAAACCTGTCATGGAAGAAGTGCAGCCAGAATGCTCCTTGGAGGTGAGAATGGCCAGACTTCATCTCACCTACTTTGGTCATGTTGTCAGAAGAGACCATTCCCTGGAGAAGGATATCATGCTTGGTAAGGTGGAGGGTCAACAAAAAAGGGGAAGGCCCTCAACATGATGAACTGTCACAGTGGCTGCAATGATGGCCTCAGGTATAGCAGGGATCATGAAGCTGGCACATGATCAGGCAGTGTTTTGTTCTGCTGTGCATGGGGTCACTATGAGTCAGAGATGTCTTGACAGAACCTAACAACACAACACGACAACTGATCCACACAACAATAAGGGTGAATTTTTATTACATTCTGAAAAAGGCAAAGCTATAAGGATAAAGGAGACATCAGGTTGCCAAGGGTTGGGATGGGGAGAGTGATTGACTACAAAGTAGCATCACAAGATAAGGTAATAGGACTGTTCTCTCTTGATCGTGGTGGTGATTGAATAGTTCAAACCAGTTCAGCTGTCTCTTGAACTGTACTATCTATATGCATTTGTCAAAACTGACATACATGCACACCACAAAACGTGGATTTAACTGTATGTAAATGAAAAATAACTTTTAACTTCTAGCAACTTCTCTAAATCTGACTTAGTCTTTCTTGAACGTCAGCAATTTGTCCAAACACTGAATGAAACAGATTTCAACAACATATTTTCTCATCTGAATCTATCCTTCACATATCAAAACGTTAGTTAAGCCAAATTAAAGCACACAAACTCATCTGAATAACAAAACAATAAATTAATAGCATTTGAATGAAAAACTGAATCCTACATACCTATATCATTAGTTTACATCACTTTAAATTGTTTTGAACCATGTCCTCTGGTTTCTTCTTCATCTTATTATAATCTCAAATATTTTATTATTTTTTAATACAGGAACTCTGTATAGAATCAGTTTTTCATAAAAATCACTTTCGTATGCAAGAGATTCTACAAAGACTAAAGAGTTAGTGATGTTATAAAAAATTCAAAGAAAAATATTGATTTTGTTTGAAAGGAAAAAAGATGTTTTCAAAACATCTGTCTTGTCTGTGTGTATTGCTAAAAATCCTCAAATTATTTTGTTTGACCTTCACTAATTGGCTTGAAACAATCAAATCACAAGCCAACCTGGCTTCAGACTACTACAATTCCCAATCTACCAAAATTTCTTCCAAAAAATCAGCAAACCAGGATCATGAAACACAATATTATGATTAAGATGCTTTGGCTTCCAATTAATCTTTGAGCAAGTGGAGACTCTATTGAGTTTCAGTCTCACAGGAAAGGAAATTGTGTAGAAAAAAAAAAGAAAGCCAAGGCTTTCCTCTCATGAAGTGGAATCCACTATTCATAAAAGGTTAGATAATCCAAGTGAGGTTTCTAGACTTTTTCAGACTTTCAGATAGAAACATTTAAAATAGAACAATGGATTGAATAAGGTCAGTCAACTAAATCCCAATGGAAACCTACAAACTCCGAGGCAAAGGCCTTTCTCAAGAAAACACCATTAGGATGCTATGTCATTTGAGGTCTTCTAATCCTTGTATTTACAACCAATCTGAATGTTGCAAGTATGAAAAAAAAAGTTTGTTTTTATCAACTCTAATGCACTGATATGAAACTGTGAATTTTTCCCTCCAATTATAGTTTATACCCATATTACAATAAAGCTCTGGTTAGGAAACAAAATAACAAAAATAAACACCTGGCAAATTGTGATGTAGGAAAGACAAATCAGGAAAAATTCTTTCCAATAGAGTCTCTCCTTGTCATCCTTATGAATTTAGCTGGGGAGGCAAACAAATGCAGATCACTGAATGATAGTGACTTTAATTCATTGTTTTCAGTAAACAGTAACATGTTCTAAGACAATCCTTGCCTTCCAAACACTCTTTCAGGAATCCTGTAAATTAAAATCTCATTTATCCCCTGAATCCTAATTCTGGCTCTCTCCTTACATACATAAAATAAACCCAAACACATGTAGCAAGATAGTACTTTGAGAGATTAACTTTTGTTGTTTTTGTATTTTTGTATTTCTTCCCTCCCATTTAAGCCTCAAGCAAATTTTGTGCCATCTTGCCACAGGGGGAGCTGCCCATTTTGGGTATGAGGATGCATCTATACAGAAGGGAT